CCTTCCTTTCATTCCCTGCCCAAATAAACCTCACAATCCCAACACAACATCCACAAAGAGCCAAAACCATGACCCACCTCCAGCCCCTACTTCCCACACATGTTCCCTCACAAATAACCCAAACCTATAAGTCCAAAACCACCCATTATATCCCCTATCCCTGCCCCCTTTTATTAGCCAAAAACAACCCCCCATTTTTACCCAAATAATATCCCACTAAACCCCACAATGTTTCCCACTGATTTGTGCTACATATGGACGAAATACACCCTTCCAGAATAGGCCAAGTAAAGCTTTTCACAGCCTTGGACTTTCCTCATATGTGGCAGACATGCACACCGCAAAAAAACAGCCAAAGGAAACCCTCATCCTAGTCATTAATGCACTCATTTGGATGCTGATTTGGGAAGGCAGTAGGAAGCTTCTTTGTTATTGTTTTCTTCTTCATTATTAATGTATTCTTTCCCCTTTGTAGTGTGCATATAAAGCTCGGCCTTATGGCCATTGTAAGCAGCAGTTTTGAATCCAAAAAAACCTTGTTTACTCTTTTGAGTATTCTCTTAAAATAGTGTGATGCTATTTTAGCCAAATTCCTAATTCCATATCTTAAGAGTGGTTCTCCTGAGTGTGAGTTTTAGGTTCTAGATATTTAATTAAGTGTGTCATATCTTGATTGAATTCTAGATTCAAACCCCAAGTGAAAATAAGAGTGTGTCATATCTCTTAACACCAACTTGGTTTATCCCTTCACTTTATTTCTGTCCATTTCATTCCTCTCCATTTTCTCTTCCTAGACCTCATTCTATTCTATCTTCATAAATCAAAATACCAAAAAAAAAGAACTCTTTCCCATACTCCATATTTTACCCCTTCAATTCCATCATCCATTTTCTCTGCAAATCCTTTTCCAAAATAGCTACTCGATAAGACCCCGGGTCTCGGGTATAACATTATATTCAAACACATTATTTTCTTACCAAGGATGCAATCATGAGCGCCCACCATACAAAAAATTAGCTTAAGATAAAAAAGAATCTTCACAATTTACTATTCCACTTCAAATTCAGATATATGCAAGCACTATCACATAAAGACAATATCAGTTGAAACACCTAGAAGCACCAAGCCGTGGAAAAATGCAGCAATCGACATAAGGTAGTAAAGAACTGTAGTTCATGAAACACAGCAAAAACACTCAATGCATTTCATGAACGAGGATGAATGAGGTTCATGAAAATACGTATATATTATAGATCAAAGTGTCCAGATCAAAGCACTTTTATTAGAAAAATACCTTTACAAAATTACACAAAAAAGAAGAAATACTGTTAAGAAACAAAACAAAAAGAAAAACAAAAAACACTTACAGTTGAAATTTCAGAAGATAGCTGTTCCTCTGTCCTTGATGCTGCATCTTTTGAGGATAAAAGTTCCTATCAAAATGTTATCAAGATACAACATCAGCACGAGAAAAATGAATTGAAGCGGAAAAGTTAATAAGCTAATGGAAACAAAAACAAGAAAAACCTGCTCCAAGGATGACAACTTAACCTCCAGCTCCCCAGATCTGTTCTTGTACCACGTTAGCGAGTTAGAACATTCACTGAAACTCCTCTCTAGCTGAACAGAACAGATATACTAATTTCAGGGAACCAGTCTGCATCAAGTCGCAGATAAATTTTGGGAATGTAGAGATCTACCCTATCAGCTTACGTTAGAAATTTTAGCAGTCATGTCTGCCTCAAGCTTAGAATAATTTTTACGCAGGTTTAAGAGATCATTGACTTTGGTTGTCAACTCATCATTAATCCATGTGTTATGCCTCTCAATTAGCTCCTTCTCCTGATTGCAACCATGGTTAACAAAGTAATTCAAAAGTTGCATCACTCTAGGAATAAAACTAAAAAATACAAGTGATCAATGTATCACTACTAGTAGAGTAGACAGTTTTTTGGTAGAGAAGCATGACAATATCCATGTAAGCATAACAAACCCTATGTTTTACCAAATTTTGGGGAATTCAAGCCACCCTAGAAAAAAAAACTTAAGAAAATATCATTAAAAAAATATCAGCAGACCAAAGGAAACTGGTGAACAGTCACAGAGGGGGCAACACGTACCAGACAGCAAAGAGAATTTAAACACTATTGCATGTTGAGATGGTTATGTGGCGAATGTGTAAGAAAGGGCTCTATTTAACTGTGTTTTGGTTGAAATTGATTTTTAAAGGAAAAATAGTTTTAAAGACAAAGGATGTGCATGCCTGTGTGTTATATTCCACCTAACACTTGATGCAAATTTTCTTACACCCCAAATTGGAGTGTAAGCATATTAAGAGAAGGCCAAGAGGACATCAACAATAAATTCCAAAATGAAACCTCCTCTTGCTCTTCTCTGAGCAGCTTGTCCTTCGGGCTCATATCCCAAGCCACTCTCTTCTACATGGCACATATGTGTGTAGTTTTTTGTTATCTGTTTATTGATTAGTATTTTTAGCTATATAGTTTTTTTCATTCACAGAATTTGTATCATAACATGCATGGTTTAATATTTGTTTCATCGTTAGTAAGTGCTTATTGAATATTTAGAAAGACTTGATTTTTATTACACACACAAACAAGTGAAATATATCTCTCACAAACAAGGTTAAGATAACTACTAACACCATTCCTTCCTTTCTCTTTTACATTGCTTAGGATTCTTTATACCTTCATTACAAACAGAGTATGATAGTACCTGCACTAGCCGTGAACATGAAGCTTGAGAGCGAGCCAATTCAGACTCCAAGTCACTCAACCGTGCTTCCCTCGATGCAGCTTTTTCAGATAGCATGACCTTGAGAAATGAATTCGTGTAAACATGTAAAGAACATGTCATTGCAATTATGAATGAACATGAAATCATTTCTAAGACAGATGGGAATCGAAGGCATAGTACATACTATCTTATCCAGGTAGCTTTTGATCGTTGCATTTTTCTCACTTATCTCTAAATCCTTGTTCTCCACTAAATCCATCAACTGTCTTTTGGATTTGTGAAGCTCAGATACCTCAGCAGACAGGCGTTCAATCTCCCCATCTTTGCCAATCTTTGTGGTCCAATAAAAGTAACAAAACAGTATATGGAGCATATTACAGCAATATCTATTCAATAATACTTTATAGTCTATAAAATGATTTTTTTTAAAAAAAAGGGGAGTTGTGTATTTGTGGTGCATACAGAAAGGAGGTGAAGCTGTTGACTGTCCTCTTGGAGCTTGGCGAGCTCGGAGAGTCGTTGATCGAGGGATGAGTTGAGCTGGGAATGCTGGGATTGGAGAGCGGAGAACTCAGAACAAATGGAAACGTACTTCTGCTCGACCAGGGAGCAGTTCTGTTCGGCGGTGATGGAGTCGGCATCCGCCTGAGCCTTCACCGTTTCAAGTTGGTTGTAAAGCTCCCTGATGAATATGTCTGCCTTCTCCGCCACCAGCCTCGGGTCGTGAGAGCAGCCCTCGAATTCTGCATCGGTCAGAAACAGCGGCATCTCCTCCCCGTCCTAATTTTCCCTAATGATTTTCTCTTACTCCTCCCCGTTACTATATGGATAGATTCTCTCTTTCTATTCGTTCTTCCTTCAAAACCCTAAAACGAGAATCTTCTGTCGATTCCGTCGCTTCTCCTCATTTTCAGTCTGTAATGTGCAGAAGAACGCAACTCTGTGGTGTGAAAGGTCTTTCAACTTAGATAATTAGCGTGGAGCTGGGGTTGGGGTGCGGGACTATTTAAACTTTAGCAATTGCGTAGCTTAATTATAAATTACTAAGAATATAATTAAGAAAAGTATTAATGAAGAAAAATGAATTAACATAATACTCCGTAATATATACGGAGTAATTAAATATTAAAGAAATTGTGAAGACTATGCATGTTTATCATTAAATATTATTTCAACTGAATCTTCTCTTCTTGCTCAAGCTAGAAAAAGTATACACGAACAGCTCGTAGCATAAGCATCCAAGTGATTCGACTATTGTCAATCTCGACAAACGCATTTCACATACTCTTTAAATATTTTGAGACATTTTTTGAAAGTGGACCGGTTTGGGATGAGATGTATGAATGTGTGAGGTATAAGTAGCATATATAATTGGAGAACAAAAAATTGCTGGTGGGTACCCTTAATTTTCTGATAAGAACTCGCATGTCTTATTATTTTTCAAAATGTACTCCGGGATACCTTAAAATTTATGAAAAGTTATTCCGCGGTGACAATTCGTCACTCTCTCCATTAATTCTCATTTACCATTAACCTGTTCTTCTCCTTCAACGTGTTTCAGCCTTCTTCTTTTCTTTTTTTTCTTTATCTTCTCCTCCTTCCACACCCTCCAATCCCATCCAGCCTTCCCTTTTTTTCTTCTTCTATTTTTTTTCTTCTTCTTGTATTATTATTGTTGTTATTATTAATATTATTATTATAATTGTTGTTGTTAGATATTATGGAGTATTATTTTATTATTTGTAAGTATTTGTTATTATTATTATTATTAGGAAAAATTATCCAAAATCATCCCAACTTTACCCGGTCTTTCAAAAATAATCTCACCTTTCACTGTGATGGATAATAATCTCAACTTTACTGAAATTCGCCAATTTTGGGTCGCCATTAAATTTCTAACGGAGGGTTAACGGAAATGCCCATTTTAGGCAACAAAATGAAAGTTGGGATTATTTTTGATGAATTTTCATTTTTTCATTTTTTTAAATTTTTCATTTAAATTTTTTAAATTACTTTCTACCTCCATCATCATTTCTTTTTCCTTTTTTAAAGATTAGTCTTAGTTTAAAAAATAAAAATAATAGATATAAAAAATGCAAAGTAAAATAAAAATATATGGGTGGGGTTTAACATTTTACGCATTATACAAAGTTATACAAAGTATTATCTACAATAATTCACACTTTACCGAACGACTTGTTCTTTTAAAAAATAAGTTGTACATTAAAACTCTGTATAGTGTGTAAATTGTTAAAACCCACCACTCCGTATATATTTATTTTATTTCTTAGCAGTTTCTGTTTAATTTCTATTGATTACATTATTTATTTGATTAATTTTATATGGTTTTAGTTATTTTTCTCATTTTCATTATTTTTTATATCTATTTTTTCTAAGGTAATAATAATCTTTAAAAATGAAAATGAAACAGAGGTTGAAAGTAATTCAAAAATTTTAAATAAAAATTTCAAAAAAAATAAAAAAAATCATCAAAAATAATCCCAACTTTCATTTTGTTGCCTAAAATGTGCATTTCCGTTAACACTCTGTTAGAAACTTAACGGCGACCCAAAACTGGTGAATTTTAGTAAAGTTGAGATTATTATCCATCACAGTAAAAGGTGGGATTATTTTTGAAAGATTGGGTAAAGTTGGGATTATTTTAGATAATTTTTCCTTATTATTATCATTATTTACTTATATATATTTATTATTTTATTTAAATAGTAGGTGTACTAAGGCCCCATGAAAAAATTTGTGTGTGCTCCTTTTAACTTTTTTCAATATCCCTTGTGTTAACAAAACTTAAAATATTTTAAAGCTTTAATTGAAAATTAGTTTTAGTAATATATTTATGTATAGTTTATAAAATTAAGATTATTTATTGACTTAGTTATAAACTATACGTTCTTATTCATAATAATAATAATAATAATAATAATATGAAATTAAACTATTTTTATCATTTCAAATTATTTTTGAAAAAATCTACAGACACTTGCTCATCTTATTCTCGTTTCAGGTCCTCTCATTTTCATGATTCACTACTACGAATGACGGTTTAGGGGTGTGCACAATTCGGTAAACCGACCGAACCGTACCGAAACCGAAAATTCGGTACGTACCGAAACCAAACCGAATAATTTGGTTCGGTATTCGGTTTTTCTTTTTTCTAAAATTCGGTTTTCGGTTCGATTTGGTAATTCGGTAATTCGGTTTTTACCGAATACCAAATTATTACTTCATTTTATTATTTTAAATATTTTGAAGTTTGAATTCTAACCTTGAGTCCTAGCAACTTATATAGTGCTGTACCTTATTTTATCCTTCCTTTTATTGACAATTTTAATTTTTAAAAAATACTTCATATCTAGCTAAATTTACTCATGCTTACTATTTGACTCTTTCTTCTTTAATTTTTTTCATTTATTCTAAATGGTCAATACATTAACCTCACTTCTTAGGGCAATAAATTACCGGTGGCTAAAGGTAAGATCTTTTAAACATTTTGATAGAATACTTTTTATATTTTGAATTTTTTATTTCTTTTTTTTATTTCATTTTTTTACAAGATCAAAATCATGTGTTTCGATAATATTATAATAATATGAAAAACTAAGTAATTTATGACTAACTATAGCTAAAAATATAAAGTATTTCTAATTTCTTTAAATGTTGAACGAGATTGCTTGTGGTACAAATTGAAAATAAAAAAAGAAGTATAGATGAAAATAAAATGAAATTTTCGGTTTTTTCGGTATTACCGAATACCAAACCGAAATAATTTCGGTATTTACCGTACTGAACCGATTTAATACTATTCGGTACAAATATAATATTACCGAAATTTCGGTTCGGTTCGGTTTGGTTTTACCGAATGAACACCCCTATGACGGTTGCCGATGACAACTGCATGACTAATGTGAAAGACAACATCAAATGTCAAAAAAAATTTGAGAAGTAAAACTACTAATAATTTTTTATTAATAATAATAATAAGTGTTATTTTAAATAATAAGTACTATTTTTATAAATAATAGTTAGTTTTATTTTCTTAAAAATAGAGTAATAAAACTACTAGTTAATTTTTAATAATAACAATAGAAGAAAAAGAAAATAATAAGAAATAGATAATAATTAATACTCCCTCGGTCCCGTTTTAAATTGTCTGTTTTGACTTTTAAGCATATTTAAGGAAAAAAATAAAATTAATTTTTCAAAATTGCCATTACTTTTTAAGAAGGGTGAAGATGAATGAGAAGATAAGGTGAAGAAGAGTGACTTGTTTTAGGAGTAGTTTAGGTAATTTATTTTTAAAAGTTTACAAAAATAACTAACAAGCAACTTATTTTGGGACGGAGAAAAAAGACAAAGAAACAATTTAAAATGGGATAGAGGGAGTACAAAGTAATAATAAAGTATTTTATAAGAAGTGCTATTTTTCTAAATAACAATTATTTTTATTTTTTTAGAAAAAAAGAAGAGTAAAACTAATAATTAGTTTTTAATAAAAGTAAATAAAACTAACAATAATAATGATAGAATAAGAATCGAATGTAATAAATATGAAGTAATAATAATAGTACTGCTATTTTTCTAGAAAATTAGAATAGTAAAACTATTAATTAATTTCTTTATAATAATTATAACAATTAATAACAAATAATAAATATAATGGAAGACGAAAAAAGAATTCAAAACAAAAAATAGAAGAAGAAATAAAGTAGGCGCTGGATCTGATCCGAAGGCAACGCAAAGGAGAAAGAGGAGGAGGAGGAGAAGAAAGAAAAAAGAAGAAGAAGAAGAATAAGAATAAGAAGAATAAGAAAAAGAAGATGTAGAAAGAAGAAAAGAAACAAGAGGAAGAAGATGGCCGTATGATGGTGAAGAAAAGAAGAGTTTAATGGCAAAGGGGAAATGACGGAGAGAGTGACGGATTGTCACCCGAGAGTAACTTTTAGTAAATTTTAAGGTACCCCAAAATACATTTTGAAAAATAATGGGACCTGTGAGTTCTTATCATAAAACTAAGAGTACCCAGCAGCAATTTTTTGATTGGAGAATCAAACTATTTATTTAATACTCCGTATGATTTGATATCAAGTATACATGGAGCCATGCACCAACTTTACTATTCATGCGGTTCCATAGCAATACACTACCTATGTATTTATTTTGATTTGACATAAAATTTGTATTGAGTCACGCACCAACTTTACTATGGACGTGGTTCCATATCAATACACTACATATTTATTTATTTTAATTTAACATAAAGTTTGATACATTATTTTTACTACGCACTTGATTCCATATCACTATATTATCTTCCAGAATTGCCTGGTCCCTTTTTTTCTCTCTGGCCGAACACCCAACCCAAGCCCGTATAGTTTAAGCGGGAGAATTCACTCTTCACTTTTTCTCCATTAGCTTTATATAGATAAAGCTTAAACTTTAATCACATAGTCCAAAATGAATAAGACATAACTTAAAATTTTACATAAGTCATATAAGCATTGCTATCTCTAACACAGTTATCGAAACCAAACTCAGATCTTATCAATTTGACAGTTTTTATACTTGCCCAGAATACAGTATCCACTCACAATTTTAATTTATTTAAATTTTCAAGTTAGCATCCACAAACACAATACTCACTTAAATTTAATTATTATAAATTTAAAAATTAATTTGTAAATTTGAATATCTATAAAATAAAATTTGTTTTTTTACTCTCTTCGTCCCAATTTAAATTATTTATTTCAGTTTACGAAGTTTGAATATTTAACTGAAGTTATTTAAAAATAATTTTATATGAAAACGGTGTATAATTGAAAAAAAGTTATATATTTAAATACTACTCCCTCCGTCTCATATTATCAAACATCATTCACTTTCTTATTTCTTTTTCGTTTGTCATTCGATAAAATAAAATAGTTATGACATATCTAGTTTTTTAGATCTTTTGATGTGTATTTTAATGTTCAATCTATTTAGGGAGAGAGGGAATATTTTTCTAAAAGATCTAAAAAACTATAGAAATAAAGAATTTATGGCATTAAAATTTAGGGAGAGAGGTTATATTTAAAATACACGTCAAAAGATCTAAAAAACTAGATGTGCCATAACTATTTTATTTTATCGAATGACAAACGAAAAAGAAATAAGAAAGTGAATGATGTTTGATAATATGAGACGGAGGGAGTAGTATTTAAATATGTAACTTTTTTTCAATTTTCATATAAAATTATTTTTAAATAACTTCAGTTAAATATTCAAACTTCGTAAACTGAAATAAATAATTTAAATTGGGACGAAGAGAGTAAAAAACAAATTTTATTTTATAGATATTCAAATTTACAAATTAATTTTTAAATTTATAATAATTAAATTTAAGTGAGTATTGTGTTTGTGGACGCTAACTTGAAAATTTAAATAAATTAAGTATATCTAATTGACGCACTCCTTTTGTGAAGCATGATGCCATACAACCAAAACTGCTTTACATGGAACCTCGGAACCTCCAAATGTGGGATAGCTATTTAAAGAGGGTGCATAGATGTTATACACCAATGTTCTTAATATTGTAGGATTGAACGTCAATAACTATTTCCATTCTTCCTCTTTTTCCTTTCATTTTTTCCATTACAAAATATATTGCCTTACAAAAGGCTGAAGTAATGATAATAATATTAATATTAATATTATGAGTTATGCTTTACAAAATTAACACAGGTAAAAAACCGGCCCCCCAAAAAAATATGATATCAACAATTGTATGAATCAGCAGGCATGCGGTTGGTTGATCTAATGTAAATGCCTTGTGCACTTTTAGTCCAAAATAGGTAGGGTTCTTCACTTGCAACTACAGACCAATCCTGCACGGCTTCTTTCGACAATAATATCCATGTCTCACTCAATCCTCAATATCATGTACCCAGGCCAAATCTGCAATAAAATATTCAGTGTTCTCATTCATCATACGAAGAAGTATTATTCAATCTGAAACATTATGGAATTTCAAGCTGCCAAAGAAGAAGAAAAAAAACCAAGACACTAAAGTGTCCAAGCCTAAGATACAAATAATACGATGCATTGATTTGGTTGCCCAGTACAGAAGAAGACGTGACTTATGCATGTTCAAAATAACTCAAACTGTCCGCCAATAAATCATATTCTTCATTCGCACGGCCACATAAAGAAATTTGCAGTGTAGACTTGAAAAGTTGATAGAGAATAATACAGTAAAAACTTCATGTAGAAATTGGTTTTTATTCGATCACAAAAAGCAACAAGCATTGCTCTGACATGACAAGTGATTCGACATTTTGGGGAACATCTTGAGAAATTGTCCGAGTATTTATGTTTAAGTGGGTGCAAAAGTGCAGAGACTGAAAAAGGAAATATGGAGGCAGTAAGCACCAAACCTTGGAGTACAGAATCCACAGCTGCATTTGGAATGAGCAACCCAACAATCCGCTGTTTGTCTGTTGTAGTCTCAATCCGCACAACACGGATACGTCTATGGCTGAGGCGTGCCTAATTCAGATGTTTAAATTAATACAATGGGAATGCATTAAAGGGATAAACACTCAATGTAGATTATAGAGCACGGTGGGCTGGATTTCCTTGCTGCAAAAGAGACATTTGAGCCTTGCCAGATTGAGAAAATCTTCAAATTTCATATGCCAAATTATGTAGCATCGGGAAAAGATTGGCCCAGCCAACAATGGTTTGCTCTTTAATTTCTATGAGAACCATCAATGGCTGGAAAAAATAGCCCAAACAGGCATTATACCATCACAAATACAGGTGTGCAGTATACCCATGGGAGTCTTGAGTAGTAGACTAGTAGTAGTAGTAGTAGTAGAAAGAGAGAGAGAGACTAATCGTCAAAGCTTACAATAAAGTAAAAAATTACAAACATATCCTACAGTATATTGTTGTAAACTTTAAACTTGTTTGCAAAACATTTAAAACAAATATGCTGTATAATAATTCAGGATTAGTACATAAATAAATTTCAAGAATGGAAAACCATATACCTGCTTCGAAAGAGCCTTTTCTATTGTTCCCCACACAGGAAGTACAAGGCCACCCAAGACATTCACTTCCTGTAATCGTCTGCCAACAGTACAATAATTGCCCAATTTACATTTTGGACCATGCATGCACTGTCAATGAAGCAAGCACATCAAATGAGAAAACTTAAATTGAAACATGCTCAAGTTTTGTTTTCAATTTGTTGTTTTAGAGGCAAATTACTGTTCAGTAGTTTGTTGGTTAGTACTTCAATAATTCTCTGATAATGTTTTGTTTCTGTTGTGCCCCTTATAAACAAGCCATTTATATTGATGAATCCAAAAGAGATGTACAAGTATAGGAGGGGTGTAACCCAACAAGATCAACTTTCCACCTGCCATATAAAGTCCATAAAAACTCAAGAAAGGCCAAAACAAGCCCTCCAAGTCGCTAACGTCAAAAGGCAATCACAGCCCGCGTATATGCTATATATGGAGATCTCAGCCTTCAACTAAATTCCAACCCCATACATTTTCATACATATGCTTTAATTTCCTTTGTAATGTAGACACTAGCACATGATGTTTTTCTGAACATTATATGCATCCATTTGTAGGGCTAAAACGTGCATACGGTTTCAAACTTTCAGACTTACCTACGTACGCGTACTAGCAAAACACAAAAGTCATATCCTTAAATAATAATTACTCCCTCCGTCCTAAATCAACCTTCCCGGATTGACTTTAGCCCATTTTTAAGAGAAGCATAAATTGGCTTTGACTTGACAAAAATACCCTTCTTCTAAACTTGGAAAAAGGGGATCAAAAGCCTGCAAACAATTTGGATCAATCCCACCCCACTTCGGAGCAACCCCCAATTTGGAGCAAGCCCACCCCACTAGCGGTCTCTATGCGACTTACTGCTCAGCGACGGGGCGCTTAGCTCGGCGACAATGGAAGCAGCGATGAATCGCCAGTATGGTTGCGAAAAATCGCAGATCGAAAGGGGAGAAAAATCGCCAGTATGGCTGACTTTCCGCTGCAGGGCTGAAAAATCGCAGATCGAAAGGGGAGAGAACTTTAGATCTAGATCTGTGAGAAAGAGGCAAAGAAAGGAGAGGGAAGAGAGACGGATACGATTAGATCTATTAAGGAAAATAAAAATTAGTTGAGAATGAGAGGGAAGAGAGATGGAGGAAGTGAGAGAAAGGACTAAAGGAGAGATGGAGGAAGGGGGGAAGGAAGAGACATGGAGGAAGGGGGAGAAGGAAAGAGACGGACGAAGGAGGCCAATAATTGAGAGAGAGCTGAGGTTTAGGGGTAATATAGTCTATTTACATCCTTTATTTTGAAGTGGGAAGATTATTTTAGGACGGAGAAAAAAGAGAAATGGGAAGATAGTTTTAGGACGGAGGGAGTACTACTAAGCTTATCCGCACATCTTATAGAAATACTCTTACAGGGGGGCAAAAGCCCATGCCAAACAAAATTATTTCCAACTTTCCTCCTAATTACGTTATAGCCTGTAACTGAACAAGCTGGTTGTGCTAGAATCAAGGAGTTTAGACCCGGTTATAGTCTAGAACATGTTTACCTATAAAGTCCATACCCCCCCCCCCAAGTACAACCTTCTCATATGAGTGAACCAATCCGCAGTTATCAAGAGCTCCATGAACACAATGGCACGTTAAGTTGAGAAAACTTTGATCTATAGAGAAGGGCACAGCCAGAAATCTGGAAGAATCATAAAAATTATGCATCGCAAAAACTATATAAAAAGGAATGCATAAAAATGAGGGAAATGAGGATAAGCTTTGAGCCAGGGATGCAAACACACAAAACCGTTAACCACTGACGCAAGTCTCTAGAAAAAGAACAAATCTTTTGTTTAACTTAACACAGTAGACTAACAGCCCTGTTTTAGATCTGAGAATCGATCCTAGAGTCAAGTCTCCTTTCATGTTGAAAATAGGCAAGACGTAGGACATCTCCAACATCACCTTTTCTGGCTCAGCTTCGTAAAGGTGTAGTTGCCCCATCCTTGCCCAGGTTATTAATGTTTTTACATCTTTTGTTGGTTGTTTTCTTGGAATGTGCAAGTTTTTTCATCTCTTATATGTTTAAGTTTAGATTTAGGCTTTTGATGACATTTCACGATTTCATGAATTTATGTTCATGTTTCACGTTTGGTCGTGTTATTATGATTGTGGAACTCTAATCGTAGAGTTCACGTGTGATTCAAAAACCAGCGAATGAATAGCCACAACTTCTAATTTTATGTCTGGTTTTTGGATGTAATGCCCATTTGAATCAATGAGAATGGCATTTTAAAACTTACTCTGTACTATGTATTAAATCAGACTTGAGCCTCATTCTTAGCTTAACAATTTTTAGGAACTGAACCCAAGGACTCCTCCTTTGGGGAGTGGGGCACCCCATTTTTTACCACAAGTGTGACACCACATCGTCACAGACATTGCAGTGTGGTGTCAAATTTGGGGTCAAAATGGGGTACCCCAAGTTTAATTCTTGCCCATTTAGCTTTGTAAACAAGCTTTCCACAAAATGAACCCAAACTTTTCATGGACTACATACTTTTATGACAAACCGAGTTGGAGTTGAAGTATAAAAAGTATGAACTCCAAATAATCTAGAAAATTCTTGACACATAATTGTAAATTCAAAGAAAAAGAGGACAAGATTTTTAGTTAGACAACTCAATTTGGTTCGGTTCATAACTTTAAATGAAAGGCTTGTTTGAATGGTCAGAAAATATAAACTTCTCTGATGTTGGATTCCAGTGACTTGGACCTCTATTTTGGTCATTAAATGTTTACCTTTGCCTTTTGTATTAATAGTTCACTATACTTATAATTAGTGATAACAACAAGTGTGAACATTCTCTTATTTAAGACTTAACTAACTCTATTACGGAGTGCAATATAAGATCTAAAATTATTTTCAAACTAAATTTAAGAGCAAACCACCATGACCCATAACATATCACTTTATTGTGTTAGTCTTGGACTTAATTCTGCATTAAGATCCCTTTTAGATTCCAGTTTAGAAAAAAATTCGCATGTGAAGGAAATATGTTCAGATGCCATTTACTGAGTGCTTTTAAATAGCCAAAAAAATGTTTTTCAAAGATTTGTATCCACAATATTACTCCATGTTATTTATTGTTCATCACAGTTGATAATAAAACTCAAGCCAAGACACTTTGGTAATCAACATCTCAAATATGATTGAGGTCTTTGTTTTTCCCATCCACAACTTCCACATAACAAAGGTAAATCATTATGAAGAGAAGGTGAGAAATTACGTTTTTTCATGATGCTAGGAATTTGGAAAGATATAGAAAGGTGAAGACCAGTCCCACATATTCAGGGTTAGAACCTTTGAAAAGATTTATGACAGCATATAATATCACCTGTTTCGATGAAACATCGTATTCATCCTCCCAGCCAGCTCGAGCCTTATCTAAACTAGATATTCTCCTATACTTGTCTTGCAATTCAGAAAGCGGCATTTCCCTAGACAGAAATACCAACAAAATTATAATCAACGAAACCAGGGGGGCGGGGTGGACTAAAAAAACAAAAACAAAAATGGAAGAGGAAAACCCCCATATTTGCTCATTTACAACTAGAATGATGAGATATTTCAAGTAAAAAAGACCCCTTGAAGCCTGAGAAATACTCCAAAAAAATTTAGATTACCTCAGGGCCTCTCCAAGAGTAGGACGGAATAGCTTGTAGGTTCCAGAAAAAGAACTGTAACACAAACAAAAACATAAGCGTAAAAATTGATTGCTGGCATAAGCAGAATTCATAAATAGTTGAAAGTCGGAAATAGAACAAAACGACTGCTGGAATGTAAAAAAAGGTTAATGTAGAATTACCATAGGTATTCAAAGAAATTGACCATTTAAAAAAATGATTTACATTCATAGTGGATGCATACTGTGATGAACAAATACATAACACTGAGTAATATTGTGGATACAAATCCTATCATTCCTGAGATTTATCAAGAAATTCATATGAACTAGTTTGGCTAAAATGGCATGATATAGTAAATTAACTAAAATCTTCATCTTCTTGAGGAATAGATTGCTGAAAATTTTGTCATGGTATGTATAGCTGAAAAAGGAAATGCAGATCCAAGTTTAGGTTCAAACGAATTGAATCATAATCAAACAGTTCAATTTTCAAATTAAAATATGAAATTCTAATAGTATCAAATACAACCCAGTATAATCCCAATTCCATTGGAGTCTTGGGCGGGGGAAGGGTGTCAAGATGTACGCAACCTTACCCCTGTGAAAAGAACATAGAGGTTGTTTCTGTTAGACTCTTGATGCATATTTGTTATTTACTGCCCAAAATTTCATAAAGAAGCTAGGAGTGTTTAATTTGCCATTTTGATTTAGTCCATTATTTATCGGAAGCTAAAACTTTTATCTGGTGGCAGTGGATGGTGGTAATCCCCTCACAAGACACCTCCTTTACTATTATTAATTACACTTAAGGCTTAAGCTGAGCCTTTCAAGTTTCAGGAGCATAACCTTTCAATGTTGAGAAAAATTATGCAAAGGTAGGACGCTGTAAAAACTTTACTAGCTTATAAACATTGGTTCTCCATAGAGTGATACTAATATTCTTATGCAACCTTAGTTGTACTACATGTATACATGAATAAAGTCTTTATCGGAATTGAGCATAAAAAAGAAAGCAAAAAAGTTCAAGTTTTAATACCCTTCCAATGCCAATAAAAAATGACGCCGTCCCAGCCATTCTCTCTTTGATTCATAGAATCCAATTACAGTTGAACCCGACTCATCTTTCTGCTTGTCTTCGAGCAATGCAGAAGCATGCTGCACAGAAACACAACAAAAGATGAAATCAAGTTAGAAAAGATAGAGAATTCATTTGTAGATGAACCATTAAATAGGTTTACTGGAAGAAACCTCCCAACTGAATCCACGGTCAAGTGTAAAAGTAAACAATATGGTTGATGCCCCAGACATACTGTCAACATGAACGGTCTGAAACAAAATGATGGTAAATGTCATGTTATATAATTTTTCCTAATAAGAAAGCACAACTAAATATGGAAGTAAGAAAAGATGTGCATTGAAAGATGAAAATGAAAAAAAATCACAACCTTAGGAGCCCCTTGAAGTTCAACACTGTTAGCTTTCATGTCAACAATCCCAGAGTCTAAATTTCCTTCCATACGAGCTTTCTGAATGATAAGATCTAGAATGCTGACAAATAACTCAAAGAGCCTATGAACAAATAACAATACTTAGTGATTGACATTGCGTACATTAACAAAAAGAGACTCCAATCCAATTAGAGACGTCGAGAATTCATCTTAATGCATCTCTAAATGTTGTCCAATCCTCTAAAAAAACCATCAAAAAAATTGTGCTTTCACATATTATTATTAACTGCTACTCCCTCCTTCACACATAATACCCATTTTCCTTTTATGGACGTCCCAAAATAAAGTTTACCCTACTCTTAAGGAAAGAATTGTAAAGTTCATGTTTATTGTAATGTTCATACATAGTATTATTTCTCTTGTGCATAAACTCTCTAAAAAAAGCAAATGGGAACTTAAATAGGGGACAGAGAGAGTAGTAGGTTAAAGCCTATGGAACTTTATAAGGCGTGTAGATTGGAAAAGGAAAAACTTTTCAAGACAGAGTAGATGTGTACAATAAGTCAGTAACCGTACTGTCTTAAATAGCAATTACAAACCTGTTTTGGATTTCAGGTGGCAGACCTAACAGCCGGTTAAGAAAACGCCCAACATCATGCATGTCTGAATCAACTATACGACCAGAAATCTTTCCAGAGTCCTTTCCATTACCTTCATAAAGGTTTTAAAAAGGAATTCTATAAAGAAAGTAAAGTAACCAGAAATATTTGATGGCTCTTTCTAAAAAAAACCTTACTCCCCCACCACCACCACCCAGTACAACCACAAGATATTTCATTGCTTGTCATTACTATAAATTGTACTCTGTACATATTACACAAAAAATGGAAAAATATGTACCGAAAATATGCAGGTAGTAGGTGTAAAATAAACAAGACAAGTACATAAAGAAACGTGTTGCACTTTAATAGCTTGACTCTAATGAAACAAGTCAAATTTTACTTTTTCCTTTAAAACTGTTATTCAGTTAAAACTTAAAAGAGACAAATTCTGTAGATTGAAAATGAAGCATAATGTCAAATAAAAAAAGCTGATGGACATTACTACTAAGCACTGAGTCTCTTATTATTCCAACTGAAACAAGAGCAGCTTTCCCTTTTACAATGAAATCATGTATCTCCTCTTGTTTATCAGCAGAACATCCTGGTGGTACAACAGGCAAAGACTCCTGTGGATAAAAGAATGGTATTCGACAGTCAAATGTGCAAGTCCATGTGTAAAAAAACAGAAAAAATGACAGTATCGTGTAATTAGGGTAAATACCAGCTCCATTATTCCTCGGTACAGCATCATCAGGGCTCTTTTCCCAAAGGCACTATCATAATTATAAGCACTTAATGATGGTCCAGCCCTGCAACATACAACATACTCACTTAGAATAAGTCGCTAAAATATGTGCAATTGAATATATGACCGCTTGTATAATACTCCATCCATCCCAAAAAAAGTTCACACTTCCTTACACAATAACCTTTTCTCATGTGCGCACACACGCACACACACACGAAGGGTTTCTATAGCCACTCAAAGAGAGTGTCTGCGGAGGACACGTCCCAATTGGGACATCTACGGTACTCCGCACGCAAAATTGATAGTTTCTACCCCCTAATCCCCCACCTCCCGGCCCCAACCAATTTCCCAACCACATCAATTGCAAGGTGAGAGTTTAGTTGGCTTTGGGGTCAAAAACTTTTACCCCGAAGTCTACTAAACTTGCGGGGTGCAATTGTCGTGGTTGGGGACTTGGGGGGATGGGATGGTTTGGGGGCAATTTACCGGGGGGTTTACCAAGTAGGAACTACTTTTCGAACGGAGCACCCTAGGTGTCCCAAGAGGAGAACGCCTTCCAATAATAGGTAGAGGCTATTTCCGAAAGACCCATGGCTCAATACTAATAATAAAATTATAATAATGGCCACATGCCCAGATATCAAACCCACCTTCGATCGCCCTGTGTAAGTGCCCCAAGGGTCTCCAATCGCTTAGCAACGATTGATGCAAACCGCCGTTCACCACCAAGATTTGTAAAAAGCAATCTAAGATTCATTTCAAAACGAAAGAGAATTATTTAGAAATGAAATTAATTGGTTGAGCGTAGTTGTCACATACTCCCTCTGTCCAAACACTATCTTCCTGCTTTGACTTTACACGTAAATGAAGGAAAAGTATAAATTGTGTTGACTTTCCATATTTGTCCTTGGGTTATTGTAAAATTTGAAATAAAGTGTAGGTACGGATACTAATTAATAGGAAAGATGAGAGTAGTAATGTGGAATAAAGAAAAAACATTTTCCAAAAAAGGAAATGGAAGATAATTTATGGATGGACAAATAAGAAAAGTGAGAAGATAAATTATGGACGGGAGATTATAATGAGTTTCAACTCTGCTCGACTTGTTGCTTTACATACTGCCACATGTCTTTCCAAACACCAATTACATGTGTGCAAATAGAGGTTGTTACTACCTGTACTCAGGTGCTGAAGCTTGATTTGATCTATGAGTCCTGCCAAATTGCTGGATTGCACGGTCCGCACTCCATGGCAACTCTAGAGTTAAATGAACTCTTCTTTTCTACAACAAGCCACAATGAGACGCAAAAAACAGTTTGACGATGTGGCTATGAAGTTAAGGGTATGTTCACTATGTTTTCTATTCCAAAAGGGAAATCCAAAAATGGTGGGACCCACAAGGATCCGTCCACTTTTTCACAAAGTTTTTTAATTGAAAAATTGACACGTAAACCCTACAAATTTTGAAAACTTTTGTCTCTACACAGAAAATTAACCAGTTAAATGACAAGCTGGCCAAACCGAATGAGAAGATATTTCAGCACTTAAATATTTGGAAATTCTGAAAGTCATAACTGAAATTTAAACATGGAAACCCAGAGACCAGGTCCAAAGAAATGTAACAGAAAACACAGTTTACCTGATTTATTGCCCTTCTATCAGCTTGCAAAGAAACACCGGCTGACCCCGCTTCAGAAATAATGGCTATCAACTTTTTTCCATCCATGAATAGCTGCTTCTCATGCATATTTACCATTTCCATTGACACATCTTTCCTACAGTAACAGAAAATGTTGACAGTTCTCAATAATCATTAACGCTTTTTTCTAAACTGCCAAAATAAGAAACTTACGTGTTCCGTGTCTGATAAGAAACACCTTTGCCATCAGAGGTCCTAACTAGCATGCCTCGCCTCCCTGTAATTTCTGCAACATCTTCAGGGCCTCCTAGCTGCGGAATGCATTATAGTTGATTAGCGAAAGGAAGTGAAAAATTCTGCAGGTGCACAATATGGATCTTTAAAAAATTCACGTTAGACGAGAGGTCAAGAACCTGGTCAATAATATCATCCAAGGGATTGTTAGGGAGGTCTAGTGAACGAATGATATCCAAAATTTTTAATTTTCGGCCAACAGCTCCGGCATACCTAAAGTCGTGATTAAAATCTTTTAGCAACAAAAGTTCACCATTATTCAACTTTGAACATTTTTGAGTATATTATACCTTTTAGTAAGTTCGGCAACATATGCTTGCCTCGCTTGTATATATTCATCTGTTTTTTCCTTGCATGATGGGCAGGACCAATCTCCAGACACTGTGCCTATAACAGGAGGAAGTACACATGCGGTATGAACTAGTTGACCACAACATGAACACTGCAACAACTTCTTCCTTTCCTACAAGAGATAAAAACAGGCTAAAAATCTATAAGAGAAACACAACACAGACAGTAAACACACTGGAAATATATATACCTCTTCTAAATTGCAAATGTCACAAATTTGAAACTCATCATCATCAGACTCGGAAGATTCATCTTCAGAATCAACTGCACGTGATTAAATTAACTAATTAGTAATAGAATAACACTACTGCACTAGAAACTGAAAGCAACATACACAAAGAAACATAGTTTATCACTGCAGGAGCTTAGGAGAGGTGGTCTCAAAAAACAGTCCAATAGTGATGCACTAAAGTGGTTTTCAAAGTTGGAAAAATAACATTTTTTCCTTCAGAAGAGCCATTGATAAAATATGCAGTATGCACATGTTCATGAATGAAATAATGCTGTACTTGAAAGAAAACTAGATTTCAGATATTCAAAATTAAAATCAGATGAAATATACTGGCCAAAATGTAAGTGAATTATATCCAGGAATTGCTTAATTTACTTTCTGACTCCTCATCACTTTTGTCATCTCTTGTAGTCTGCAATTTAGTAACTTTCCTCATTCTGCCTCTAAATGATACATCAGGTGTTGCTAGATGTCTCTTTCGTTGCAGCTCTTTCACACTTTTCTCTACCATTAAAATCAGAAAGTGAAGCTGCCGCCTGCCGGTGAAAACAGAAAACTACATAACACAGGAAGAAAGGCATGCATACCTGGAGGTTCTTCAGGCTTTTCAGGCAGAGGATAGTTCTCTTCAACAAATTTTAGTAATAGTTCACGTGGTCCAGAAATAAAATCCTCCAGTTCAAGACCCTAACGAAGAACAAATAAAATGACTAGATAACATGTGTTTTCATGAGGGAATTAACAACAAAACCCTGCACACTTACATATTTTGATATAGCTTCCTCAGTTCGTGCTTCTCCAGTGCTTTGCAAGCCTATCACCACACATTTATTTTCTTTCAAAGCTTGCTTAGCAAGTCTAACTATTGCAGGCACCTTAGCGGACATGCAGATGTGTCTAAAGAAACGCTATAATTGAGAAAAGCAATGATGGAGACAGGTTAAAATGAATTGGGTTAATAGTTATTAAGCTGTAATGTTCAAAATAAGGTTATTCCGCTGTGAAGTGTGAACAAGAAAGGAACCTGGTGATTGGCCCAGTAAAGTCTCCAAAGCTGACTAGAATTGGGTTTAGTCTCAGTGATGAGTGTGCTTGCTGACAGCAATTCTACTCTCAATTCAGCCCAGAATTCTGCTGCTTTTTTATAAATGTCCTAACAATTTCACAATACTAGATGAGAACATAGGTACATATCTTTGGATATCATAAAGTAAACTCCAAGCCGGTATATGTGATCTAGTTTTAAAAATGAACGGACAAAAACTTGTGTGAAGCTAAATTAGTCACCTCAAGCATGAGTTTGGCAAATTTTACAAGGTACTCCCTCCGTCCCCCCTAAGATGTTCTCATTTTGACTTTTGGTGGTTTTTAAGGAGAGTTGAAAAAAGGTGAAAGTTTACCATAATACCCTTAATGAAATATGGGTGGAGTGTATTAAATGAGGTGGGTGAGGTGTAATAAATAAAGTAAGTGGGGGTAGTTATGGTATTTTAATTGTTAAAAAATGGAATGAGAAGATCTATTGTGGACAAAGAAAAAAGGCTATTGAGAAGATCTATGGGGGACGGAGGGAGTACAAGATTTAGAAAATAGAAAGCCATGCAGTTTCTCTTAGCTATGTACCCCCTCAGCGTCAAATAGCTAATGTTCTTCCAAATGCGTTATTCAAATTTAACTACATGAAACTATTTCTATGGTTGGTTTGATGAGCACATTTCTACATGTTTTAGATGAGTGAAGGAATTCAAACTAGTCTATTGCTGCATGTTTTTCTTTTTCTTAGACAAGTGGGTTTTTAATTTTTTTTAATAACTTCAAAATATTGGACTACATTAAAAAGCATACATCAAACACTCCCTCTTTCTCATTCATCAATCTCAAATTTCAAATTAGAAAAACAACTTGGACAATCTTCCAACATTTTATGCATTGTGTATTATTACTCCCTCCATCTCACTATATTTTGGGACATGGGGTAGTGGCACGAAAAATAAGAAAAGTGACAAATAACTATTAATATTGAATGTCAACCACACAAATATAACCAAATATGGTATGAGACAAAATAGTGGGACAGATAAATATGGTAAAAAGGGACAATTACAGTGGGACGGAGGGAGTATTATTAAGATGACTATTATTAGTGTTAATATGATATATCACACACACACACAAGTTGTGTCCCTGTCATACACGTGTTATATATGTCTATTAGAGCTATTAGACAAATGTTAGTTGCAAGTTAGTTGTCACATAGTTGATGACTTCATGTTCCAAAGTTACGTAATATGGAGTAGTTGATAATATATGTACATATATTTCTGGCAATTGTGTATGAGAAATATAAAATCATATCTCCCAAAAATATACTTTATCATTTTTTTCTACTTTAAAGCATCATAAAGAAAGCACAACAAAATCATCAATTCTCATATAAGATAACTTGTTTCTTGAAAACCATTTAATTGCATATTTGCATGGGATAAATTTGAAAGCATAATAATTCTAACATCCTAGCAAACTTTTATGTTGGCATGAGCAGAAAACTGCATTTTACCATCATCTGGGGCTCGAGCGGCACTTCAACCACTTCAAACTCTACACCCTTGTAGCTCAGAGTACGACACACATACATACCCCTATGAGTTAAAGAAAAGGTCAAACGCTCTTATTTATAATTGTCTTAACATAGTATAGACTCATTTTTCCAACACAATCATCATTTCAGACCTTGCTTTCATGTCCATTGCCACAAGTTCAAGTGCCCCTACACCACCCTTCTCCATAGCACCTATCATCCATAAAATGAAAAGTAATCGAGTAACCATCATCATCATCACCAATAGCTTAATCCTATCTAGGCCGGAGACGGTGACATGTATACAACAAGTCAACAACAACAAAGCATTATCCCACGGTGGGCTTGGCAGATGGTGACATGTATAGCGCCAATTAATTTTCTAAAATCAGTTAATGATATACATTCATGTAACACACACACACACACAAACTAGCTTCTCATAAAAAGAATACATATATAAATTCCAAAAGTCATCATAAAAAAATTTCCCACATGCATGGGAATTATCATTAGAAGGTGATGAGTTGGAATAGCTGTTGAAGACATGTCCCATCAAAAAATTGAGATTGAGATTGTAAGAATCAAAATATGCATCATGTACCAGATAATAAAGATTCACTTATTCGGATGAATATGCACATCTAAGTTGGACTAGATTCAGAGAAGAATGAATTGTACATAAAATGTTCATCATGGAAAAAGCTTCTCTCAGTCTGTATTTTTAAACAACGCTACATTCTTCACACTTCAATACTAGCTCTCATTCACATGGCCGCACAGTCCAATGCATTAAGGATTTCTGAAGTTCCCATTTGATTTGAGAGTGCACCTCACCCCCAAACCCTATAATGCTGATAAGCATATAATAGTTTTTATATCATCAAGGACCATTTATCAAGAATAAAAGACATCGAGAAAATGAAGATATCAAAGTCCCAGTGAAATGTTGAATCAATGGTCTCTCATTAATATTTAAAAAAGGAGCCCCAACTCATTGAGAAATATAGCCTATATTTTGTTCATGATGCAAGATCAGGCAAGCTAGATAACCATGAAGATAGATTTAGGCATATGCAAAATTCATATTAGTTAAGTGTCAGTTCAGGAAGTCAATTGCCAGACCTAGAAAGTCACGAAAATTGGCAAAAGCTGTTCCAGTTCCCCAAAGGCCAAGGCGAACCATATAGCCCATATTGCGGGGTTCTGATGCACCAGTAGCTGAGCAATAAATAACACGTGCTTGAGGAAGCCGAGCCTGTCATCAGGATTCCAAACACAAGTTATCTCATTTACACCGAAAGCATAAACAGAATGACTTTCATCATTATATCTGTGCAGCAAGCTAGATCCTATAATGTTACAAAGCAGAGCATATTGTACTATTTTCCATTATGTTCTCATTTGGACATAGGGAGGGGTATTGAGCAGAAGAGCTGTAATGGTAACTAATGCCTTGGTAATAAATGAACAACCATCTATACCAAAACACCCCATAAAAGACCCAAGGGAATGTAGCAAAAACACAGCCCAAATAAAGAGGCCAGTCAAGTCCAAGTCTCAAAGACAAACCTGAATTTCAAGAACAGCTTCACCGGTTCGAGTTGGCTGACTTCCAGCTTCTGGGACCAAATTCTTGGCTTTATGGCACTATAATTAAGTATCCGTTTAACCATTAAGATGGTAGAAGAATCTGACCTCACTAGAAGATAGTATGTGCATGTTAACATAAAAATGGAGCACCTCATCAAATATGAGAAGACCATCATATTCAGGCCCACACCATTGGACAAGTTGTTGCAAACGAGAACGCCCTTTCTCGGAGGATGCTATAAGGCTGCTGTATGTCAAGAAAACAATTCCTTCCCTAATGCCTACAGACTTCGAATCAAGCTTTGAGTAAGGTAATTTGTTCAATGCATGCACTGCAAAAAATTAATAAAACAAAACAAAAAGAAAGCAAATGGTTAGATTTATAAATACCAAAATCTTGAGATCCACTAAACCCATGATACACACAACAAAGAAAAAAGACAAACAGAAACAATCATCTCTTCTTGCAAACAGTATCTAATTTGAATTTTTCATGAAAGTTCATGCTATACAAATTTGGTTGCCCGAAATAGACAAACGAAACCCTTCTTTCCACTGAAACCAAGCAGAAATTGTATCCTATTAAAGACATGTATTGCCTCTGTGGACTTCAAATTGATGTGGAAAAGATTGTGAGATCTCTAACTCTTGTTACTAATGAAGCTTTTCCATTTAAAAATATTCCTATTAACAACTACCATAAAAGTCTTGATATTTTTGTACTAACTAAACTCACTGATTTAGAATTATTCATCATATTAACAACTACCAGCAACATCTGTTGCCAAATGAAACTTTTAACACCTAGTGCTGTGAACAGTGCTCACAGTCCTACACCCTCAACACAGGATAGAACAAACACAAATTTTCATTACAATCGCAATATAAACCTGAAGACAATAGCAATTAGCAGAACAATTTTTCGAATAGGTGTTCAGGATCCAGCGCTTCTTTTTTATCTCTTCGTGGGAGCAGCATATCTAAATAGTGGTTATTTCTAAGAGAGACCATGCCACAATGAAACATGGCTGCCACGAATAAAGAAGTTTTAATCTTATATTCCTATCAAAGGCATGTGTGTTGCCAACGTGGACTTTCAATTGGGTGCAGAAAACATTACGAAATCTCAAACTTTACTAAAAAGTAAGAACACTTCCAATTAGGTGACTTCAAGTTCACAACTACCGGTCATTGCACAACATCTGCAACAACCTATAAAAGGTCAATGTATATGGGCTTAGAGTCTACCTATAAAAGGTCAATGTATATGGGCTGTGTCTTCAAAGCTCACAAATCGGTATATGGGCTATGCAGGCTACCTACAAAAGGTCATTGTATCTTCGTAAAATGTAGACAACATCAACAATAGAATGACGATATCCCACAAAGATATGCAACCCAATCAACAACACAAGAAGGACCGGTTGGTGGAATTTCCGTGGAAATAGAAAAATTATGTTGATTGCTTAATCCCAACCACTTAAATACACTTGTGGAAGAAACAAAAAATTACCTTCGACACACATCGCACCCACATCATCCAAATCTCTTCTTGCATCGAATTTTAAATCAGAACCAATAGAGATCCATCTAGAAATATATCAACAACAACATTACTTTAGTGCCTTCTAAGGCTCTTACCCATCTAGGAAAATGTAGGAGCAAAAACGTTTTAAAGGGCATTAGATTGTCATATGTAATGCTGAAATGAGTCTCAATTACTGGAAGCATCAATAGATAAACACCGATTTATCTCGTTCATAAGTTGAAATGGGAAAATGTAGCTTCTAGTCAACAAAAAATGGTATTGATCTACAATTATCAAATTATTACACATTTCACGTATTTAAAGCATTAAAATAAACTATTTCTTCTAATTAATGAAGCGTGGGATAAAAATACTCTTGTCATCCAATAAAAAGGGTCCTTTTTTACAAGGGTTCTTAATTTTAGTAAGCTAAAACTATTAAAAATCATCAAACGCGCCTACACTTTCAAAATGTATTTGTTGGTTTAACTAACTAAAAACACGCTTAACTTACTTGTGACACTTTGGTATTTACCAAGAAAACATTAAATGTGATGAAAAACAGGTCTTTCTATTCAAATTGGATTCTCTTTTGGGACAACAAAAAAAATTAGAAATCAAAATCATTCAATGGGAAGGAGTAATTATTTTAAAACAGACACTGATGAAGCCCTATAAGTTGTAGGAATCCTATAAAATACATATCCTTCAGATATTCAAAAATAGTAAAAGCAATCAGGCGTAAGCAACACACCAACCAATTAACTTACATAGCTTTCCTTCTTCCATGGTGCCAATTCTCCCATATCAAACCTGCAATTGTCCTTCCCTTCCCAACACCGGCTCCATCACCAAGAAAAAATCCAGCTCTAGTGCCATTTGTGAGGTGCTGATGATGCCTCTGTCATAAAAAAAATACTCCCATCTTGATTTAGTAATCCACTTTCAAAAAACTCATATTTGGAAATGAGGATTATATTACAATATTTGATGTAGTTTATCCTTGATGGCAACAACGCTAACATGTTTTGATGGGGCACTTTTTATAACGCTGAATCATTCTTTTATTAAACATAGAAAGTCGAGAATTAATTCCGGAATCCTAAAATGAGAAAGTGGGCAACTAATTTTGGATGGAGGGAGCATACAGCAACATTACCCTTGTGCCTCAAAGGCTCCCGCCCATTGCAGGGTAAGGGGGGTCGGATGTATGCTGTCATACCCCTATGTTTAAGAACGACTATTTCCAAAGGATGGAGGGAAAATATGAATATAAATCATTAGTGAAGAAACCTGCTATAACGTAGAGAGCTTAAAGCAGAAGATACCTGAGAAGCATACACCAATGTCTCAATCTGCAAGCAAGATAGTGCTGATGAGTTTTCCAGCTCATCTTTGATCTTTAGATCATAGGTAGGCTCGGGCGGCTGCACTGCAGACAGGGATGATGTCTCCACAACAGGGTCTGGATGAGGGCGTCCAATAGATAACTTGGGAGGCCGCTGCATAAAGGCAAACAAAATAAAGAAATGAGTCCCCCCCTTCCTGTAGTTATGTGTTTCAGTGGAAAGCTCATCCAGACGTATATAAAAGATGATGGTGGTAAAAAAATGTTGCACGAGTTAAAGCTTACATAGTCTGTAAAAGTTTCACCAGCCAAACCCCCTTCATCTTCTTCTCGTTCCACCTCAATGGCAACCTAATAGCAGAGAAATAAGGTACTTCACATCAACCAAATTCAAGTTATGTATGTATTGAAAAGTTGCAATAATTGATCACTTGCTAATACATGACCATCAAGCGGTATCCAGAATCAATCAAAGAGTCTCTTTTATCATCCATACCATGTTAAATATTGAATAAATACTTGAACTTTACAATATAGAGGTTCCGAGTATATGCACTCTTTCTTCTACAAATATGTGCAATTGGGCATATCTGACAGTATAACTTTTCAGGCTTGTTAAAATTGCAAATTTCTTCATATTAATTTCAATGCGTGAGAGAAGAGTTCGAAGAGAAAACCTCATTGACTTCTTCTGGTGGGGGTGGAAGCATGTGATTGGGGATGGGTGGAGACGGAAAGAAGTGCTTAATTTTGGACAGATCAACAGCAAGGTCGACGCCGCACTGGGGACAAGAGAAGCGAGTGAGGCCGTGGGGGACGTTGAGAATGGCCTTACAGTTAGCACATGGCAACTGGATCTTGGTAGGATCGATGCCATGGGCGGGGCCGTTGCTGCGAGCCTGGGCGGGGGGCATGAGCTCGGGAGGGAGCATCTGCGGCAATTGGCATGTGGGGCACATGAATTCGGTCAGTCCGGGTCCGACAGCCAACACCATCTTGCAACCGGCACACCGCACTTGGCAACCCCCGGCTCTTCCGTCGCTGGGGGGCGCTGCGGCGGCCGGAGCAGGTGGCGGAGGAGCGATTGGGAGAGGCGGCACCGGAGGTTGCCCCATGACCTTAGATATTCTCTATTCCTGGGCTCTGCTCGAGATTGACTGCAATTTTAGAGAAGCAGCTCCTCCAGTTGAGAATTAGCTAGGAGCAAATTGCAAACAAGAAACGATGAACATGATGTTGTTGGGCGGGTGCAATTTTGAGAAGTGAAAATCGACCAAATAATTTCTCATCTATTACCATTTTTCCAATAAACATGAACAAAAAAAAGACTCCCTAACAATTGATGTTGTGTAATAGTTTTTAAAAATTTTAATTTTTCTAAAATAAATATAGTTGTCTACACTTTTCTTAAATCTAACTGAACATATTTCAACTACTTTTTATGTTCTACCTCTTTTGACATTTCCGAACCCTACTTGTTATGATTATTGTCCATTTGCATTGGTCAAATTTCTATATTTACTCATTCCAATTGCCAAAATTTGAAATATTTTTCGAAACAACAACAACAACAACCTAGGTGAATCCCACGACAGTAGGGTCTGGGGGTGTGTGTACGCAGACCTTACCCCTACTCGGAAGTAGGAAGACTGTTTCCAAGAGACCCCCGGTTCCACCTGCACGAATGTAGACAACTATGTTGATAATGTGGACATTCTTTATTTGCATTGGTAATATGCCAATAATAGCTAACTAGCCTAAAATAATATTCCAATAATAATAACTACGACATTCTCTTGTTATTTTTTATAAAGGATAAATTTGATTTGTGATTGTATCTCTTTCCCAGAATGAGTTTTTATCGTTAGTATGTTTCATTTTTTTAATATTTCTTGCGTTGAGTAGTTAAACATCTTATTGGTTAAAAATGTGAGTCTTTAAAATATGTGATCATTAATTATCGATATATGTCTGCCCTCATGAGGTGACCTTAATAAGAATTGTAACAGATCCAAATTTCAAAGTATGTAAATGGTTTGATATTCCACTGCGAGGGGTAAATGTCGAAACAAATGGTTATATATCCCCAACCTTTCACGAGTGACCCAATGAATGGGATGACATGGCATTTACCTATTGCAGTGGGTTCCCATATTTTCATCATAAGTGACGTTGAATATATAACTAAGGATGATGTACAAATGTACGTCATTTAAATACTCAAAGTGAAGAGAAAAAATGGGAAGATGCTCATACTCTTTAGAAATTAAAGCACCTAAAGTGTGTTGCGGTTTTACTGTGGATGGAAAGATTTATGTGCTAGAAATTTATGGTAATAATTCATTTTCATTGCACTATCTTGACTATCATAATTGAAGTTGGAGGAGGGATGGGCGTGTAATCTGACCAAGGAACTGGATGATTATAATTACTATTCCATGAGCTCGACTAAGGTTGCACACACAATTAAATATGAAGTTGTAACTAATTATACGACTAGTCAACCCATGCGCTGTGCTCGGTGTGCCGTCATCGTTATATATAAGGACATAACCATCTACAATTTTAAGAAAAATGAGATTTATAAATATCATCACAATAACAAATTCGGTGACTTTGGGTTGTCCACGTGTGGTGTGTTTCAACATTGAGAATGGCGAATGGTGCCAGAGTGTAAAGGCCTTTGAGATGTATGAAAATGCACTTTCTAAGCTTTGTGATCCTGATACTTGCATATGTGAAATTCCTTCATTGTTTCAACACTCGGGATAAGAGCGTTTATGCCTCTTTTATGGGGAGGCCCTGACTCCAAACTCCACTGTACCATATTCGATACAAATGTCAAAGGGAGCCGACTCTTTGCTGGGAAGGTTCTACCCAGGCGTACATGGTCGAGGGCATTGCAGACTTTATCTATAATGAGTTTATGACTGTGTAAGTTTTCTATTTTTTATTGCCTTGTATTTTCTTTAGTAAGACATTCATTAGGTTTTAAGACGGGTTTATTTGTTTGAAAATAATCATGTTTTTATCTGCTTGTTGTGCATTGCAATATGAGAAAGAGGATGCACATGGATAGGGTTTTTGATATGCATCCATTGCTGTTGTTGGCTTGCTGCACCAGACCGAGCTAAAATTTGATTGTCATGTTCCAAATTTTACAAGAAGTGGGAGTGTATTATGTCTTTTGTGAGAACTTTGATTCGAGCATTGTGTGTGTAATGTTTATGTTAAGATCAAGTTGTTGGTAATGCAAGATTTATGTTACTCTTAAATAAAAATGCATTGGAAAATAATATCAATCAAATATGTTAAATAGATAGAGACTATTTAAATTAAGGATCCATTTGACACCAATATCAGAGATTAGTAGTGTTAAAAATTAGTGTGAGTATTTCAAAAAAATTATCGATAGCATTTAGTAACATCATCAAAATCAATTTACTTATTTAAAATACTACTCCGTAATAAAAAAGTTATTTTGAAACAGGTTAACTATTCTGCAATAAAAAGGATTCCATCCGCAAGGCGCATGACTTGACCAAAGTCAAAGCGTGTTGGAGGCTGAGTGGCTTGACCAACCGTGTTCAGGCGGACCCACCTTCCACCCAAATGACCCAATAACTCGCCTTCTTCTTCTTCCCTTTTCTGGCGAAGAGGGGAGACAGTCAGAGCCGAAGACTTTCTCCATCTCTCCCGGTTCTCGCCATCGATCTTCTAGAAGTCCCAGAAAAAGGAAGAAACAGTCAGCCACGACTTGTCCATCTCCATCGTTCTTTAAGAACGGGGGAACGGATTCTTCAATCGATTTGTAGCAAACCTAACCCCATCCTCTCATTCTGTTTCTCACCCAATTTGGCCTGAATCGGAATCCACCGCGTTTAGTTCCTTGGGAAGAAGGAGATATTCGAGTGAAGAGCTCCAACGTACCCTCGTCCAGCACAGCCGCTCCCGGATCCGCCGATAATCCTGCAGCAAGAAGAACTTCTAAGCGACCAAAGTGTATGCGAATTGCTCCCCCTTTCCAGCTACGCTCTTTTCAGTTCTTTTTTCTCAACCCAGAATTGTTTTTTTGTGTGTGCTAGTAGCTTACTGCCTAAACTTATTTTCTCAAGATTGTTTCTTTTTTGTGTGGCAATGGCAATTGGCAAACCGTTTACTCTTCCTCTCCCCAAGCCTGCGAATTTTTTACCCTAATTATTAGGAGAATAGTAATTTAAGCAGCTTATGGCATTATGGGATGCACAATTGCATGATGATGATTGTAAGCTCAGGGTTGTTTCTTAATCAAGCTCAGTTCCCAAGTTCATTGGATATATTTAGGAGTCATAGGCTATGTTGCATGGATTGTTCGAGTAACTGCCACTTACCATCCTAAAAACAGTTCCATTTGGATACTTGGGAGTTGGGACGCCCTGCACTCAAATTAATCCTTTGTAAAATTCTGAAAAAATGGTGTTTCCATGTTCCTAGCCCCACTTGAATACCTGTAATTGCTAAATTTTTTATAGGCACCATTTACCTGGAGGCCAATGTCCCTCGGATTCCCTCTCTTCCTTTGTGCTCCTGCTTCATAGTCTCGCTCTTAGTGGTAACATAGTAACCCAATCCCAAATCATTTTATTCTATGCGAACTACTCCAGTATGCTTAACAAAAAACACTGTCTTAATGTGATCTTTCCCTTGTAAATTCTGAATTTTATTCATGAGTTTGCTAGAAAATAATTTTAGAGTGAATACATATGTACTTCTTTACATTATTCCCGAGCAAGGTTTACTTGTATTGGCTGTATTACATGGAAAATACGAACAAGAAGATTAAAAATGATAGTTTTTGTCCATTAGATTCAAGGTTTACACAACAGGAACTTCCTGCTTGCAAGCCAATTTTAACGCCAAAATGGGTAAGTTCCCTTCTTGTGAATTCTTGCCTTGTGAGATGATCTGCCCAGAAGTCTATTGCTTAAATTTTCCCAACTGGTTGCGTAATGCAGGTTATCTCAGCTTTTCTGCTAATTGGTGTTGTCTTTATTCCCATTGGAGTGGTTTCTCTGTTTGCTTCTCGAGATGTACGCTCATAATTTCTCACATGATATTTTTAATGACTCACTGTCTCACTTCACACTCTTACCTAAAAACATCCCAGCTTAAAAGGAAAAAAAACAGAAGAAACTGTAGAAAATTATATGAGAAACCAACTAAAGGTTTGATTTTCATGAAAGCTATATTATTCTTTGGTTTTTTTCATCAGGTTGTAGAGATTGTTGATCGGTATGAAGCTGACTGCATACCGAGCAACTATTCGAGGAAGGAAGTTGAGTTTATACAAAGTTCTCTCGATAAAACCTGCCATAGGACGATCAGAGTAAGTTTTTCAAGAGTGGTGATGTTTTTGTTTTTGGAACAGATCATATTTGTTCTGGTCACACTGAATTTTTGAGACACAAATATACAGTATAATAATTTGGTTTGGTTTTTTAATGGTATAGGTCTCAAAGCATATGAAGCATCCTATCTATGTGTACTACCAACTTGACAATTTCTATCAAAATCACCGCAGGTGCATGAGAATTTTCTTGTCTTGATTTACCGCTGTGACATTACGAATTTATTTCATTTCTGTTGGTTTTGTCTGTGTTATAATTTTTTACCCAGTATACCCACTGTTGAATGAGTGCAACTCTTTAGTTAATATTGCTTACTAATATGGAGTTTTATAAATTACCATCATATGTGTTTCTGACTCAGTGACTCGCATTCATTTTTTCCCAGGTATGTTAAGAGCCGAAGCGATCAACAGCTAAGGGATAAGGATAGCAAGGATAAAATCAGCACTTGTGAGCCCGAAGATTCTTCAAATGGGAGTCCTATAGTTCCATGTGGCCTTATTGCATGGAGTTTGTTCAACGGTACATACAGCTTTTCCCGCAACAAGCAGAAGCTGAATGTAAACAAAAGTGAGATATCATGGAAGAGTGACAGGGACCACAAGTTTGGAAAGGATGTTTTCCCACAGAATTTTCAGAACGGGTCTCTGATCGGGGGTGGGAAACTTGACATCAGCAAGCCTGTAAGTGCTGGCACTTTTTGTTTTTATTTTTACTTTTTTGACTTTATTTCTAGAGGAAGATAATCTAATACACACAATATGCTGCTGTGTATTTTTTCCCAAACGCCTGGGTAAAACAAAATTGGTATCATGCTATCACAGCTCCAACATGTTATCTTCCATAAAAGTTAAAACACCTCCATAGAAAACACAGTTTCTTTTTTATTGGGGGGGGGGGATGCTTATGATTGGAACTGTGTATAGGGTTTCTTAAACACCGCTCAGATACATGGAGTATGTGCATATACCTATGTATATGAATCTGCCATGAATATTTATTTCTCTGCTACATTATAAGATACAGCAGTGTTTCGGCATTGATATATCATTATCTGTTTCAATTTTCATTCAAAATTCAGTAAACAAAGCACATGTTAAGTTGGACTATGTGTATGCATCATAGATTAATTTAATATCTTGGAATCGCTGAACGAGTCATCATTATTATAATTCAATTTTCTATATACATCTTATGTGAGGCAATATTTTTTTAAAGGCTCACCTATTCAATCCCCTTGCTTCCTTGCTTTAACAGTTGAGCGAGCAGGAGGACCTGATTGTTTGGATGCGAACTGCTGCTCTTCCAACATTTAGGAAGTTATATGGGAGGATAGAGGTGGATCTCAATGCAAATGATGTGATTGAAGTCGTATTGAAGAATAATTACAATACTTACAGTTTCAATGGGAAGAAAAAGCTTGTGCTTTCTACCACTAGCTGGCTGGGTGGGAAAAATGATTTTCTCGGCATTGCATACCTCACAGTCGGTGGCCTTTGCTTCTTTCTGGCCATAGTTTTCACACTCATATATCTCGTTAAGCCAAGGTATGATTTTTCTCTCTTACTAAACATGCCTTGCAACAATCAGTCTCAACTTTTCATATTGACTGCAGCAAACAACAATAACTGCTCTGCTCTCTCTACAAGTTAATTTTAGCTAACCCAACATATGAATTGCTCTGTATGCTGATTTGCTTGTTTTTATTTCATTGGAACCTCCCAAGATGTCTTCCTTGTATTTACTTCCATGGTTTAGGCTTACAAATCTGCAGATAATGCACATTAATTTTTCTTTGTTTGATGTAAGTCTAACGTTTCTCTCCAGTCTCCACCCCCATATGGATGTAGGCCTAATATTGTGTGATGAACACAGTAGTTGACATGTTCCACTTTGTGCAGGCAACTTGGTGACCCGTCATACCTGTCCTGGAACCGGAATCCAGGTGGACACTAGAAGGCCCTCACTCATCTTCATGTAATGTACCCATCATCCATCATGTACAAACTACAACAAAGTTGTGAAAAAAGTGTAAACATAGTTTTCAAAACATGTATGCTGTGAACGTATCGATGTCTCAACTTGTGGTGATGGTTGAAATTTTATGTTCCTTGATTCTTGATTTGAGTTGGGGGCTTATTGAAAATAGACTCTCTATATCTAAGTAGGGATAATGTTTGAATATACGCCCACTCCATAGACCCTACTTTTTGTGAGATTTTACTAAGCTCGTTGTTTCCCTGATTCTTGATATAGTACTGAGTACAAGATTGCAAAGAAATACGTTTGCACTTAAAATGAGGCACTAAAATATGTTGTTACATTGCGTATTAATGAACGAAACTGAAACCCCTATACAACTCTAAGCAAGATATTTGAAAGATATTCTCCTTCTGGGTATGAGGGATCCATAGGATGATCACACGCTGCTCCTGCCTTGCGCACGAGCGTGATTTTCTTCCCAACTGTCGATGCAGCACCCTGCCAGAAACAGGATTAGCAATTTATAATGAACAAAAAAAATATTAGCCAAGCCAAACTATGGACAATTGGACTTTTTTACTCCGTCCATCTCACATCTTTTGTCCCAGTGTGCATTATTTCAACTGCACGAGAATTTTTATTTATTTATAATTTTTCTTGACTTATAAGATAAAAAATATTCTTATCACCATTTATTTTGTTGAACTTTTGATGCAATTTTTGAAAATGTAAGTTTCATTTTTTATGCCAATATCTAAATAAAATAAATTGATATGGGACTGAGGGAGTATTTTCTTGAGTCCGGTGGATGTGTGACAGAAACTTGCCTGGAGAATGTCTAGGAACTTTCCACTTTGTGTCATTGCTCCAGAGCATGAGCAACTCATAAGCAGACCTCCTTTCTTTGTTAACTGCATGGCCAAGGAGTTCAAATTGCTATACATTCCAGATGCACTTTTTAGAACCTGGTTAAATAAACAGACCCAATAAAATCCAACAAAAAAAGGGTCATAAAAAACATTAGAATCAAATGAGGAGACACTGCTCGCACAATGGCACACGATCGTTTTGGGGCACAACTTCAAGAGAGGCGCGGACATGCAACCTAATTAAAACAAGTACCTTTTTCCGAGGTGCGAATTTAGGAGGGTCCAAAATAACTATGTCCCATTTTTCATGTTTAGAAAGCGCATCCTTCATAAACTCAGTTGCATCTTGTCTCAAAAAGGAGATCTGTTTCGAACCCATTCCATTCAGAGCAATGTTTTCTTTGGCAACTTCCAATGCAGGCAATGACGAATCAACACCTTTTTAAGATTCACATATTAGCCTCGATGGTTTTAGATTTCAATGTGGTCGATCACTTTTTCTTTATAATGATTTTTGACAAAACCAGATGCATATATATAACACAGAGTATATACAATATCAACAGTAATACTAATAGAATTTGGGTTGTACCAGTGACATTCAATGCACCACCACATGCTGCATTTAAGGCAAAACCTCCGGTGTAGCAGCACATGTCAAGAACCCTACAACCCTCAGAAATGGTAGAAACAAACTGGCGGTTCTCACGCTGATCAGTATAGAAGCCAGTCTTTTGACCATCCACTGATATCATATAGGAAATCCCATTCTCCATTACCTAAGGAACTTACAGTATTAGGCCAGGTCATACATGACGCAGAACAAACCCTTGAAAGGGCTTACAACAAACAACAGAAAACCGTAATAAGTAGGGTCTAGGGGTATGAGTGCATGCAGACCTTACTCCTACTTCGGAGTAGATATCAAAAGGGCTTACCTTTACTCTTTTAGGAAGAGAAGGAGCTAAATCTGTATTTGTTGAACTGGAAAACTCCAGTCCTTCTTCCTTGAGGATTTCAACTGATGGTCTCCAACTTATATGTTTAATGCCATTGATTCTACTGATGCAAGATTCTATTTGCTGCCTGTACTTTTCTACCCAAGCAGCTGATGAAGCAATGACAGCTAAATCTCCAAAAACATCAACAATCAGACCTGACAGTCTAGCAGGTCAAACTATAAGCAACAAGGGAGACCTTATTTAAACAATTAAACTTATAAGATACAAGAACATACAACTGGTTACTTAAGTTACTGTTCCAAGTTATCCAACAATGATACAACAACAACAACAACCCAGTTAAATCCCACAAGAGTAGGGTCTGGGGAGGGTGTGTGTATGCAGACCTTACCCCTACTTGAAAGTAGAGAGGCTGTTTCCAAAGGGTGTGTGTACGCAGACCTTATCCAACAATGATAACAAATGAATTGAAATATTAGGCAAATTATACAGTACATCCGTGTATGTACATCCCATGAGTTTTTTATAACACGAAAACGTGCATACACTGATTTGCTATGTATGAAAAATGCGCATTTTTCTGCAATTTCAGTTTCAAGATCTTATTTTTATTCATTCATCGATTGGAAATGATATGAGCAACAAAATGTGAAGTCCTTTCATCAACGAAATGAGCAATATGCAACTATTGAAACTTGCATAAATCAATTTTGTAATGTGCATGCTCTAAGTATACATCCAGAGAGAAACAATTGTGGGAAATGAGTGTTCTGTTTAACTGGTAAAGTGCATATGCAGGATACACAATAAACATCATGCATCTGATCTTGACGAATTGTATAGGAACACAAAATCTTACGAAGAAAGTAGTGTTTCTTATAATAGTAGTGAAGTAAAAGGAAATGCACCTATCCCCTTCACTATTGATGAGCCGGTATGCATTTGTTTTGGAAGAAGGAAGGCCGAGGCCGTTGCGCAGTTGTGAAGCAGCAGAAATTCTGTTTTCCAGCAGATTCTCCACGTTGAGCACACACAAAGGCTCTCTGAAAGTAATTTTGTATTTAAAAAAAAAAACTAACAGTAAAACATAATCTGCAACCACAAGTATTTCCGGAAGCATATATTGATGGAAAATGGGAGGAAGGAGAAAGGGTGACCTGGAAGCTTCATCATGTAGTTGCATGAGGCGAACGCAAAACATGGAGACAGAGTTGTAAAATCCCCAACCAATTGGATTCTGGGTTCCATCGGCGACGAGGACTACATCTCCGGTCTTGGGCGGCGGTCGGCCGATGATTCTGTCGACGGCGCCGCTGTAAACCATGGGGCTTCCATTCCGGGAGAAAATTCGGGCCTTCCCTTTCTTCAATACAACCTTCGCCACGCCTGGAGAAAATTATCCGGCAAGCCAGAGACTATTAGTATAACATTTCTTAAGTAAAAGGAGCATCGCATGAGCAAAGAGAATTAATCTGGGAGATGAAAATGGCACTGGCCTCCGGGCTGGTTCGAAGCGATTTCGTGGAGCGTGTTTGCAGCGGAGGGTGGGTATGCCGACATTCGCAACATTAGCCGAGCGGTGAAAGCCATGGCCGCCGCCGCCCAGCTCAGCTAGTGACACAGCGCTGGACTCCGTATATTTCAAACAACCAACAAATTGACTGTATTTCACATCATGCGTAAAGAAAATGATTTTTCCTGTTTTAGCTAAAATGAAAGAAATTTTATTTTCACTCATCTTTGTATTTTTTTTTAAATTTTTTTCTTGCACTTTTATTTCTTTGTGTTTCCTTTCTATTCAAACAAAGAAATGTTTTCTTTCTCAATTTTTTTTCTTTTTTCTCTCAAATTCCTTGAACTAAATATAATGTAAATTCACTCAACACATTAATTTCGTTCTACTAACTGATTATAATCTCTAAATTTTTTTGGTATGGAGTATTTGGGCTTTGTATGAACTCATATACTTCATTTGACCCAAATTTGATTTCAAATTAGGATTAACGAGATAAAATTTATCAACTTTTGAAATCATTGCATTTATAAATTAATATATCGATAAAAACTAAAAATTACAAATAGTTCTATAAAATAAGAGGTGAAAAGAATATTTTATTTTATCAAATAGTCAATGAAAATTCGCAAATAAGTAAAAGTTATAGAGAAGTGAGATAGAATTGTAATCAATTCTAAAAAAGAGAGAGCAGAATTTTTTTAACATTTTAACATTTTGATAAAATTATACTTATTCCGTCTCATTTTAAATCGTCTGTTTTGATTTAATATACGGAGTATTTAATTAAAGCTATTTTAAAATCATTTTACCTAAAAAAAAATGGTGTGGACTAGGGGATATGACATTGGTACTTGGTAGATTGTCGCCCAATGATAAATGAATTAGGGTCAGATTTTAAAACCGGATAAAATAATCAAACCAAACCGGTCGTAAGTGAACTAACGGCTGGAGTGCAAAAAGAATCGAAAAATTCAAATCAGGGGAAGGCGTCGTCATATATTCATTCAACGGTAATTTGGCTCTCTCTCCATTCCCACCGCCCTAATCAGGCCATCGCCTGCTAGAGCAGCTTTGGAATTTCAATCGATGTTCTGCGATTCAACTTGGTGGTTTTCCATGATTCAACCACACACTGATTCAACAACAACAACTGATTAAATTCGAAGAAAGCAAGTAATGGCGGCCGTCAAGGTAACTCCAAATCTTCAACCCTAGTTTTTTTCGTTACTCCTCTTGATTTTATTCTGGATTTCTGCTTCAACTATCGTGTTCTTCTTAACTATTGGGGCAGTTCAAGTCGAACTCAATCGTTAATCGTGCTAAGGAGGACCCTAAGATGGGCAAGAATGGTACGGATCACTTTCCATTTTCTATGTAAACACTATCGTCTTTGTTCATTTCAATATAACGAGTGTATTGTTGCTTATGTATTCGTTTGTGTTATGGATTCTTGTCATTTTACTGCTTTAGTTGCAGGAGGGCTAAGAAGTTTTCACATTTACTCGGATGAGAAGAGGGTTAAGGATGGAGGCCACATTTCTTGCATTACCAGATCCAAGTAAGCCTAGGTTTTCTGCGCACTTCTAGACTTTTGCTTCATTTTCGAGGAGGTTTTGTTGTTTCATATATTCAATAGTGTAAATAGTCGTATGGATCATCAAATGCTCCATAATCCAATATTGTAATGTAAAAGCATTGCTTGTTTATATAACTGTTTCTCGTATTTGATGCAGGAAATCCTCACTGTCTAATAGTACTGTCATGCAGAACAACACTACTTCGAAGGTTAGCATACCTTTCATTAAATGCACATTTATTTGTTTAAATTTATGAATTTGGAAAGCTCATTTTATGTTCCCCTTTTCACATGCTAATATTGACTTAACTGCTTCAACTTCTTTGATTGGAAAGAGGAAGCTGGAGAAAAGTAAAAGCAAGCATGGTAGTGGAGGTGATGTCCAACTAGAACTGTTAGAATACTTAAAAATTTACTTGTCCCTCAGGTGGTTTACCCATTATACACTTGGTTTTCAGTTAAAGTTGGAAGAAAAGTTCTGGCCGATATCAGCAACACAAGGAGCCATATTTCTGTTCAGCTCGGACAAAAAGTGTTGCCTGATATTAGCAATACCAAGGGAAGCATTTCAAGAACTGAATATCATGATGGAACCACACAACAGTAATTCATTCTCAATACCTATGCATTGCAAGTTTTTTCTTCTTTTTTTGGTGTGTGTGTGTGTGTGGTGGGGGTATCAGAGCATGTCACCTTTTTCACTTAAAGCGTATCTAGGGATAGCCTTTAATGATGTGCTTTAAGTTTTTAAATGAATTTTGCCATGCTTATCCTAATGAATGATTGTGACATCACTCAAAAATTATGATGTAACTGTTCAATGGTGTGTTTTCAATTCTTCTTACTATATTCTTACTTTAAATCAAACATGAATGTATTATCATTTTCTGTTGGTACTGTGTATATTACTGAAATTGGTGAGATACTGATAGTCGCCTGATGAGTGGTCTTCCCATCCCCATTCCCCCACCACTCCACTGTCCAAGTAATGTTGCCTCATTTGTACGGGCATGCATATTAAGATTATGTAAATGGTGTGATCGATATTTATTCAAAATAAAAAGAAAGTAAGAAACATCTTGTAGGTTTCCATGATATCCATATTTATGCAATTGCAACCCACTCACAAAATACTGTACTATTTCCCACAAAGCATTTGTGCCTCCCCCTGTTGGATCTCTTTTTTAATCCATGATTCTTTACTCAAGATTTTTTTTTTCAATGCAGGAAGACTGATGCAAAGAAATTTCCTTTCCTTCGGCGGTAAGCACTATGTGTTTGTTTTTCATGTAACCATGCCTGTTTAGTTGGGTTCTGTGCTACAGTGATATATCATAATTTGATAAATAATCTCTCTGTAATATCCTTCACTTCCATCTTTGCCCATTCCAGAATTTTTTATGCATCCAGTGATACTGTACTTCTCAATAATCAACTAGTTCATTTTATGTGTATTACCAGGAGTTCTGTTTTTACTAGGACTACAACTGCGCATATATCATCAAGAAAACCATCGATGGTATGAAAGTCATAGGACAAGTGAAATCTCTCTTATCAATTGATTCAATACTTATTTTCTTTGCTAAGATCCTTGGTTCAAAAAGATATAAGGGGTGCCTCTCTAGTCTCTCACTCTCAGCCCCTTCCTCAGTTTTAAATGTAAATTACTTCATAAGATTTATTTTCATTCTTGGTAAGTTTTATGATTTTCCCTGCTTGCATATTTTGTAATTTTTTCATCGAGCAGGCAAAGATGACAGTGGGCCTAGCTGAAGCTAGTGGGAAGCATGATAGATTTATGAGAGGTATGCCTAGCCTATGGGGTACAGTGTAGTAGCATTTTGGGAGAAAATGTAACAGGATTTTTTTATGCTATTTTGAGTTTTTGCTTCTTTGTAGGAAGTGTTGCAGCCAACAAAGATTTGAAGGCTGCTGCTGATGATCCACGAGCCAAGGCCAAAAGCCATGCAGCTGCTATCACTGGAAACAGGTAAGGTGGCCTATTTTTTGTCATTGAATTAATATCATTTTCACATCTTTCTTTGCTGGTGTAATGAAACTTCCAGATTTTTATATATTATGCATTTATAGTTTTCCATTTTTTGTTCTGTTAAGGACAACTGGCAAGAATTCTCTCCTGCCACTAAGGTGTGTGTGGTGGTGTGCTGTGTATGTTCTGTTAATTCCTCTCAATTGTTTCGAGAATAAATGTTCTAATGGGCTGTATGGTTCAGGAAGTCTTTGCCAGCATTAAAGCGGGCTAACATTGTCAATACAGTTGATGCAAAGAAGGGACCCAGCACTAAATCTTTTACCACTAGAAGCCGGTAATGTGACCTAATTTCTTATATGTCCGTCTTTTAAATATCTTTGTGAAAAGTGTGGATTTTTCCATCTTATGGGATTGTGGCTTTCACCTTTGGTTTATTCTGAACTGGAAAAATTCATCTTCTATTGTCAAGGTATTTTTAACGTTAATATCTCTTTTTTATTCATCTAGTGTACCAATTACATATTTTACTTTATGACTTGTAGGAAGTCTCTGCCAACATTAAAGGACCCAAATGCAATGGATATTAGCAATATAAAGAAGGTTTTTACTATCTCACATCTCTTTATTAACTTACATCGTGCTGCATTGAATGTGAAAAACCATCTATGCTAATTTGATAGGAAAATGCCAAAGTTTTGGAGAAAGGGATACACAAGAAAAGATTTGGAGGTTAGACACAAAATTAAGTGGCGCGGTTTGTTTACAATCATAGGACTTATGTTTCATCAGTATTACTTTTTTTCCTCTTGTTAGTTTCAGCAAAGTCCAGTTTCGGACGACACACTTTGCCTCAAGTAAGCTATCTCTGAACCTTATAAAGAACTATCATTACTATCAGCATGGAAATGTTTCATGTTGCTTACCCATGTAAATCCTAATTTGTGTTAGGAAAATGCCGAGAGCTTAAATAAGAGGATTGGAAAACATGGGTTTCCAGGTTGTTTGCTGTAAATTAAAAGGTCATTTTGGTTGACACTAGACAGTTGTGTGACCATTGTTATATTTTTCTATGTTTTGCTAGTTTCAGCAAAGCCCAAGGTTGGTAGAAGCATATTACCACAACTCCCACAAGTAAGAAATCTCATATTGTGGTATACTTATCCACTTTTGATGTGTGTGTTGAGTCATTGCAGTTAGATATACTGTTTTTACAATATTCACTTTATTTATTTATGTATTGTAATGTTTATAACCTATTATGGTATCTCAACTACTATTGCTAATGTTATTAACCGGAGTATTAAATTTACTATAATATTGTAGGAAAGAATTCACAACTTAGTTTGTTTTTGCATTTTCTGAAGTGTGAAAAATGAATTCAAACAAGTCAGTTTGAGAAAACATTCTCTGCATCCAAATGGGTAAACAATATACTACTTTAGAAACGTTATTTACTCTATGCTTTGTTGTGTGTTCTGCTTTTCAACCTATTCTGAAAACTTCATCTCAGATGGCTGCACGATCGAAAGAAACACATTGCCAGAGCAGCTCAAATGCTCAATATGTCATTTCATCCCAGCAGAAACAATTACTTGGCACATCTTCTCTTTGTAAATATATTGGTCCAATACATTCTAAGCTGCCTTCAGAAGTTGCTCCTTCCAACAACAGCCATGACTTATCTACATCTGAAGCTGATATTTTAACGAGGAAATCGTCTGCGCGGAGAAAATCTTTCACATCTCTATTGGTGACAAGACCAAAGGTTTATTTCCAAAGTCCATTTCTTTCCTTTCCTACCATCTGTACATTTTTTCTAGACATTTTTGTAACAACATGTAAATCATCTAGCAATGGGAGGAGCAAACAAGGCTAATGGAACAAAAGTATTTGCCAAAGATTTACGATGATTATAACCATCTTGACGTCTCTGAATATGTTGATGACATCTATCAGTATTATTGGGTTATGGAGGTAGAAATATTCATTACTTGTATACTAATTTTATCTTTGTCACTGTTATTAAGCATTAACCTTTTCTGTAATTATAAAAGTTTTGACCTTTTTCTGTTGCCAATCTCAAATAACAGGCTCAGCATCATCCTCTGAGAAGATACATGGAGATTCAAACAGAAATTACACCTCATATGCGTGGCATATTAATAAATTGGCTTATCGAAGTACACATTGTGTTTAATTATTTACTCTGCACATATATTTTCATTGATTTCATGGCATT